CCCTAACTCCCTTAGCGCCGCCGGACATGTCCGTCTCGCCGGTGGACGCGTCCACCCCGCCGCCACGTCGCCCCGACCAACCGGGAGGCGACATGTCATCACCGCCGTCCGCCGTGCCCAATCCTGCAGCGCCACTTGTCACCGCCGCCTTCCACCACCGCGCAGCCCGCGGGGCCCAGATCCGGCATGCGTGGGCCTGGTCCGCGCCGCCGCACGCCCACGGGCGCGTGCCCGCACCGCAGCTCATCGCCCGTCGCCGGACTTACGCCGCCCTTCGCCGGAGTTCTCCGCGCCCCCGCCTGGGAGATGCCACCGCCAGTCGCCAAACCGCATCGCCCCAGCCTTGTGTCGCGCCTCCGCCGCCCCAAGCTGCTCTCGCCGACGCCGCCACCTTCAGCCGCCACCTCGCCGGACCCGCCTTGCTCCGCTCCACCTCGCCGCCCTGGCCCCGCTCGAGCTCGCCGGAGAAGCTCCGCCGACCGGAGCCGCCCCTCACCGGAGATCCTCCTCCGTCACCGGATCTGGAGAGGGTGGATCAGATCCACCAGTTCATCCAACCAAACACCCCGTCCCAATCCGGATCCGCGCCATCCCGCTTCTCTCCTTCCCGGGTTGACTTTTGCGAGGTTGAAATTCCACTAAGTCCCAGTAATTTTATGCATTTTTCATTGCATCATAACTTCGCCACCGTTGCTTCGATTCGTGCGTGTAGCGTAACGAAATGTTCGTCTCGACGAGTACTCCATTTCATCTCATTGCATCATTTTCATTTGAGCTCATCTTGATGCCCGAAATGCTGTTGGAAGAGGGCTATGTGATGTTAGTTTCAATTTCTTATCAGCTTTTGCACTTTTGTCATTTTTGCCATGATTAATGTGTGCATGCTATGATCTTGAGCTCTACATGTGTTTTGATGTATGCCATGCCATCTTTACAGGGGTGTATGCCATGTATTTTTGCGATCTTCGTGGTGATTAGCACAAGCATGCAAAGTATCTTACTCAATGTTGCTGATTTCAGGGACTTAGAAGTTCTCTAAGTCCTTGTCCTGTTATTGTTTTTTTGCCATATGTTCATGTTGTTTCCTATTGATCCGTGCCTCTTTTGAGCATGATCAGTAAGGATGTTTTGTAGATATTGTGGTGCTCTATCCATCCATGTCTTTGTTTGCATTTATGGAGCACCCTAGCTCGAGTCAATCGAGCTTTACTTTTGCTATAAATTGTTCCTGGCAGATTGTTAACATGTTTTGCAATTTTGCCAAGCTTGTTGTAGTTGACCCATGCATGCTATGTTGTGGTTCTTGCCATGTCTAGCTTTTGTGCCATGTCTACTTGATGGGTGTATGCTTAGGTTATCATGAAATGCCTTGTGGTGAGTGTATCGAGCTCGTAAACATGCCTACTTGATGTCTGTTTTGCCATGCTCCAGTTTTTCACTAAGTCTGAATCTGTTTTCGATATTTGCTATGTTCACATGCTTGCAATTGTATTTCTGATCCCTTTTGGCTCATGGTCACTAAGGGACTTTTGTTGTATGCTTTGAGTAGCTTCATGTCATGCCTTGATTTGCCATGATATGTTCCTGTAGCATGTTGTTACCTTGCTCTAAAGATTGCTTTCTTGATGATAAATTCCTGACTTGTGTTATTTTCTCTAAGTCTGTAATCTATTGTCTTTTGCACTTTTGCCATGCTTGTTTGAACCTGTTAATGAGTGAATTAGACGTAGCTCAGTGTTGATCTTTTGTTAAGCATCATGAGTGGATCTCTGCCATGTATTTTGTTGCCATGTTGGAGTGTTGCAGCATGTTGTTCTTGATGCAGTTATGCGGTCTCGTGCTGATTATTGCAGATCGGTGCCATATTTGTTTTGCTTGCCATTTCCAAACCATGCATCCGATTCCAGTGATCTTTATATCGATTTCAACCTAAATCAACTCCTCTTTCTAGTGGCACTCTTGGATTTCCATGTTGAGGCCAGGCTATGTCTCATTTTGCTTGTGTTCTTGCTTTGGGTAGAGCCGGGAGACGAGTTCGTGTTCGAGGACCCGTTGAGTACGTTTTCGAGGATCAAGCTTTCGTCTTCTCGGAGAACTTTGCAGGCAAGATGACCATACCCTCGAAATCACTTCTATCTTTGCTTGCTAGTTGCTCGCTCTTTTGCTATGCCTATGCTGCGATACCTACCACTTGCTTATCATGCCTCCCATATTGTTAAGCCAAGCCTCTAACCCACCTTGTCCTAGCAAACCGTTGTTTGGCTATGTTACTGCTTTACTCAGCCCCTCTTATAGCGTTGCTAGTTGCAGGTGAAGATTGGAGTTGTTCCATGTTTTGGAACATGATTATTGTTGGGATATCACAATATCTCTTATTTAATTAATGCATCTATATACTTGGTAAATGGTGGAAGGCTCGGCCTTATGCCTGGTGTTTTGTTCCACTCTTGCCGCCCTAGTTTCCGTCATATCGGTATTATGTTCCTGGATTTTGCGTTCCTTACATGGTTGGGTATTATGGGAACCCCTTGATAGTTCGCTTTGAATAAAACTCCTCCAGCAAGGCCCAACCTTGGTTTTACCATTCGCCACCTAGCCTTTTTCCCTTGGGAGTCGCGCATCCTGAGGGTCAACTTTATTTTAACCCCCCGGGCCAGTGCTTGTCTAAGTGTTGGTCCAAACTAAGCGATGTCCGGTGGCTACCAGGGGAAACTCTGGGCTGGCCTACCCGACGTCTTGCTCATCTGGTGTGCCCTGAAAACGAGATATGTGCAGCTCCTATCGAGATTTGTTGGCACATCTGGGTGGTCTTGCTGGACTTGTTTTACCATTGTCGAGGATGTCTTGTAACCGGGATTCCGAGTCTGATCGGGTCTTCCTGTGAGAAGGAATATCCTTCGTTGACCATGAGAGCTTGTGATGGGCTAAGTTGGGACACCCCTGCAGGGATTGATCTTTCGAAAGTCGTGCCTGCGGTTATGGGCAGATGAGAATTTTTTAATGTCCGGTTGTAGAGAACCTAAACTTAACTTAATTAAAATGCATCACCCGCGTGTGTAACCGTGATGGTCTCTTCTCGGCGGTGTCCGGGAAGTGAACACGGTGTTGGAGTAATGTTTGACGTAGGTTGTTCTAGGATCACTTCTTGATCATATACTTTCTCGACCGTGCTTTTGCCTTCTCTTCTCGCTCTTATTTGCGTATGTTAGCCACCATATATGGTAGTGGCTTGCTGCAACTCCACCTCATACCTTTACCTTACCCATAAGCTTAAATAGTCTTGATCGCGAGGGTGTGAGATTGCTGAGTCCCCATGACTCACAGATACTCCCAAAACCAGCTTGCAGGTGCCGTTGAACCGCGCAGGTGACACAACCAAGCTCAAGGTGGAGCTCGATGAAGATTGTGTTCGCTATGTTGTTCCGTTTCCAGTTGATCAGTAGTGGAGCCCAGTTGGGACGATCGGGGATCTGTGTAGCTTTTGGGGTAGTCTTCTTCATTTTGGTTCCGTAGTCGAACCTTGAGTGTATTTGGATGAACGTAATGTTATTTATGTTATTTGTGTGATGTGGCGAGTGTAAGCCAACTATGTATCTTTTTCTCTTATGTATTACATGGGTTGTGTGAAGATTACCTCACTTGCGACATTGCTTTCAATGCGGTTATGCCTCTAAGTCGTGCTTTGACACGTGGGAGATATAGCCGCATCGAGGGCGTTACACAATGCATGTTTGATGACGAACGTGAGATAGATTCCTCTTACGGCCTTCAATTTTTTTTCTACGTTTTACGTGCACTACTACACCTGTAATGTGAAATTTTCGAGAATTCTAGAGGTCATTTGACCTTTTGAAGATACTAGTGGAACCGTTGCGCCAAATGGCGCAGAGACCTGTTGATTCGATGTTAGCGATGAAAAGGAATCCATAGTTTAGTTGATATAGTTACGGATACGCACATATGACAAAAATTTAATCTTTCTTACATGGGAAAAACAGGGCTTGTTATCAACAACAGATGTATATACACAATTAAATTTGGTAACATAGAGCTCTATTTGAAACAAAATGTATGTAACAAATCTAATCCTCTTTAGTAGGAAAAAATGGTATTTTATTGTCTATAATGAGATGTATATACAGATTCTAATTTAGTAGCAGAAAGTTATATATTCTATAAGATGTGAACGACGGACATCACATCTAGAGATATTCACATCAGCTACAAAGTTGTCTACACTCCATGTGAACAATGTGGTTTGTTGAGGCGGCCGTTTCGAGGGCGTTGATTTCTAAGCAAGTCCAGGTGATGACAATGATAGACACTCGGTGGTCATTTGCGGAGGGCATAATCAATGCAAGTCCTACATATTTTCCTTGCGAAGCTCGTCTTCAAAGTCGGAGTTGTCGATTGTTCGCGTGTTTAGCCATCTGTTAGCATGTGGCCAGGTTGGCCGGTGGTACCCATATTTTGTGAGTTGAGTTGCATTGGTTTTAGCCCTGTTTTCCTCAATAAACGGGCAATTCTCACTATCTTCTTAATCAATGAAAATGGCAAGTCTTTTGCCTCATTTCAAAATATATAAAAAAACATCAGCGACAAATAACATCCTTGGGCCAGCACCTGACGAAGTTGAAACGACATTGTTCCGCGCCTTCCAAATATGCGAAGGATATTATCAATGTTGTCTTGGGCTGGCAGCCCTTCGGGTGGCATCAGTTGCCAAACAAAGGAGAGATTAGTAGGAATCAAAACGCCAAGGATTGACCAAATCACAACAACAAAATTGCGTTCATTTTTTTCATATATACATGGAGTGTCAGGTCATAGCATTGCTTAAGCGGACTAAAATTCAGGAGAATGGATGAGAATACAAATGATGTAAAGTCAGGTCTCGGTTTAAAATGGGCATAAGAAAGTAGTATTTCAGTAGAGTTGTATCGGAATGCACAAAGGTTAGTAATTGCAATACTAATTTACTCAAGGAAGAGCTGCACAATTTACTCAAGTAAGAGCTGCTCAATTTTGTCGTTACAACAAACTGTAATAGGATCATGGGAATTAGTTGTTGATGTGTACACACCTTCACAATTATAACTCTATGTAACAATGCACAAAGGAGTAGCATCTACAATATTAATTTACTCAAGGAAGAACTGGTCAATTATGTCATTAGAACAAACTGTAATAGGATGGTGCAAATTCTGTAAACTTTGAACGAGGTGCATAGTACCTTCCAAAGCCTATTAACATCAAGATTTAATAAGGCAAGAGAAAAATGATTGTAACTATCTTCTAATTGTTCAAACATATGAGAAAGCTTAGAGAATCTGTCCTGCTGCCTTTTTCTCCAATGTTCTCTTTTCCTTCTCTTTACCTGCAAAAATGAAGCATGTTCCACAAACTGGCAAAATCAGTGTTGTTAACAACAAACTTCCCTATTATAAGAGGTATTCTGGAAGTATTTATGGTAATTAAATTCAGGAAAGACCAAAAGCATAATAATTTAGCAGCCCTGTATAAGACTCGTTTCAATCCTCATGGTGCATCTCGAAGCCCTGCAATCGAAACTGAAACATCACTCCTCATTGAAATCTAACACCAGTTGATCTAACTAATCGAGCAAGTAGCAGTCCTGCACTGAAACCCCTAAACACCAGTTCAGTTATCCACATTATACACAGCCCTGCTACTACAAAATCTGAAAAATGAGAAACTGGACCCTCAGCAACAACTGACATAAAGGCTAAACCAGAGCAATCAACCATTACTTCTGTCGTGGCACAAAATTTATAATAGAATCACATCTAAGAATATCAATTGGAAGGAGAGAAAGCAACTATAGGAATTCATGGTGGCAGATACAGCAAATAAAATAATATTGTTCAGGAAACGAGATAATATCGGGGACACGAAAGGTTGTTCTGAGATGTTCTAGACAATCTAACAGTTAGACAACACACAAAAAAAGGTTGAATCAAAGACAAACTAAAAACCAGATTACAATATAAACTGGTTACCTTTCTTTGCTTAGGCAAAGGCCGACATGAACATTAGAAACCAAATTGAACTTATCTTTTTCTGTGTAGTAAAAAACTAAACAAGTGTCTGTTTTTCATCGAAAGAAAAAAAAATGCTAGGAGAGTAATATGCTTATGGCAGAATTAACATTGATAGCAGAAGAAGATACATACGGGAAATGTTGGACTAAATTTAGCCATGGGACATATTCAAAAATTGGTGAGCATTAACAGCCAACCAAGCAAATGAAGGAATATCCCTGCCAAAATCAAGAACAGTAAATTAGCATCTAGAAGTATATAAAAACAAACATTCCGCTTGGAAGAGTGTTATCTCAGTATGATAAATAACTGGGACTAAAGAAGGTAACCATGTAGAGTGTCACACCTAAGGGCATTTTCTTAAGTACGTCTCTAGTAATACAACTCACTATTGATTGATTTAACTAAGGTATTCTATAGTTGGGTATTTATAGAGGAAAATCACTATGCTTTTTTACCAGCGAATGGAGAGAAACTGAAAGATTTGTGTTTTTAATTGCAAGAACTAACCACATTAGGCTGCTGTGCAGTTTTATTGTCAATGGAAGACGCTACAGCTGAGCGAAATTGGCTTTGGATTTCTTCTACCTGCTGCTCCCTCCTACGACAATTATTTAGAACAAATAAGATATAACATAACTATGAGATGAGAGAAGGGCACACTAAAGAAGCACGTCCGTAGGAATGTATCTAATAATATAGATGCTACCAATCAATAGAACTAAAATACTCAAGCATTTGGGATCAGCTAGATCTGTGTGTACATCACCAAATTGGAAGTTTAGTTACTTGTGGTTCGCTTGATAGTAGTTGCGGGTTTTCATGCGCTGAAGTAAAAGAACAGACCAGCAGTGACCAAACATAAGCACAACCATCCCCCGCAATTCGAGTTCTACCCCAGAAAGTACACACACGTCCTCTGCGAACTCACACATATACGAAAGTGTCATAAAGGACACTATGCTACGCCACTACCACGGCTTCCAAAACATGTATAAAGACTGAAATATGCGGACACATCCTGCTCACCCGCATGCATGAAATATAAGCAGCATAAAGCCGAACAATACACAACGCCCTGCCAGATCTAGAAAAGCATTTTAGCTAGACAGAAAGCAAGCAAACCTCGAGGAGCAGAACAAAGATGCAACAAAGCACGAGTTCGAGAGACAACAACAGTGCAACACAAGAGATAATAGAACCTACTAAATACATGGATATGAAGTGGTCAGAGTACCAGCATGCTATGGAACAGAGAACAGACATGTAAAAGAAGATTTGTTCCAGAGACAAATAAAAGAACAGTCCATTCACATGAGTTGGAGAGGAGAAGCAGGCTAGCAGAGCAGCCAAGATGGAAGAGCATACCAAGGACAAGCAGAACCAAATGCAAAAATGAAATGAATAAACCAAATAGAGATCAATTTTCACCTGAACCAGTAGATACAGTCCTAAAGGTATGCATCCTAGTAGGTCCTACAAAAACTACAAGAAATCAGAGGATGGAACTTGACTGCCTTCTATATCATTTGGAGCTAGAAAAATTGCGACGAACCACTAATCCCTACTAAAACTAACTATCATTCCCCTGTGATATATGGATATATTAGAAAGTGGAGCAGATCACCTCTCAGTTTTGTTTCATCGTGGGAAAGCTGTCATCCATGTGCATCAGTGATTTCTCACTTGTTCTTCATAACGAAAATATATACATATAAGTATATAAGATCACCAGCAGTCCTCATGTAAGGCACTTTTCAGGTTACCACTGTAAGGCAATAGAAGCCATTCTCTTAATGTTCATGCAAATAATTAATCGTCCAAAATGGAAGTAGCTGACCAATTACAAATAGCTGAAAAACAATACTAACTCCGAACATTTAGCTACCACATGGTATGGTAAGAACAGGATAACATGATAAAGGTAAACTGCTAAATGCGTATAAATTGAATCAGAGAGCAACGTAATACACGGGCATCCGAAAACAGAAGGTAAATTCTACAATGAGATTCTGTCATGGAAATTGAATAAATTTACAATATGGGCTTCCAAGGTATCATATGATATGTATGAAGCTAAATTCAAGTGTCTAATTATAAATTCAAATAAAAAAATCATGTGGTGTCTAGCCTTAAGTTTCTTCCATTATTTTACAGTTCAAAGCTTAGAAATATTCAGTAAATGATGTACTGAAACGAAGTGACTGTCATATTTTTCTTACTTAATTCAGAATCTTCAACCTTACGTACAGATCATGCCATCAGTCCATGCCAACAATAGAGCTCTCTCCTCATCCCTAAAGAAATGAAAAACAACAAATGGTTGTCATCATTTTCTTACCTAACTCAGAATCTCCAAAGTAACATACAAATCATGCCATCCGTCCACATAAAAAAATTCAACCATACCACTTCTGGAAATGATGCAATCACTGCCAACAATAGAGTTCTCTCCTTATATCCCTAAAAATGAAAGACAAACAAATCAAAATTTATGTCTAAAAGCACACTCAAATAAGCAAATCCTAGGCAGTATGCACCATGGATTGATCAAAGTGCAAGAAATCAGAGGCAATATGCAGCATGGCTTGATCAGACTGCAAGCCAACAAGAGGAGAAGAGAAAGGCCAGAACCTGCAAGCTGAAGAAGCAGAGCATGTCATTGAGGCAAGGAACGAGAGAAATCTGAATCGCCCGGTCCGTCGTCTCGGAAGGCGATGACCACAAGCATATCTTCTTCCACCCCCGCGTCTTTGCCCTCTTCCTCGACCTTCATCTTCTCCCGTGCTGCTACTCTGGCGCGCCTCTTCCCACGATAGCACCCGAAGGAATTTGCCGGTCAGCATCGGTGGATCTGTCTTCCCCATCTTCCTCATGGTTGACCACTCAGCTAGCTCCAAGGAAGAGGAGATGGAGAATCGAAGGGGAGGAAGAGGGCCACGGTGGTGGTCGAGAGCAGGAGAGGGGGAGATATGTGAATGTCCGGCGTCGGCCGGAGACCCTCTCCCATCCACCGTCACACCTCCCTCTCCTCTTTCATCTCTGTTTCTCCCTCCTCTTCTTCCTTTCTCTCTCTCCCTCATATTTTCTCTCTCCTACAGGGACCGGTCCACAGCACTAGATCGAATCGAGTGCCCCGGCCATCGTATTTTGCCTGCAGATCGCCGCCGCTACCAGAGATGCCCGCCGCCACGCCCGCACGCCTCGGATGCGGCCAGATCCGCTACTCCTCCACACCAGCGAGATGACCCGGTGGCGGCTGACGAGGGAGGAGGGAGTGGTACTGCGCTGCGCTGTGGGGGTCGAGGGGAAAGAGGGCTGGGTTTGTGGAGTGGCGGCTCTGGCGTGGAACCACGCCGAAGCAGGGCAGCAACGCTCTGGTGAGCGAGGAAAGGGCAGTTTCACCCAGTAAAGTTTCGCCCAGCCAATCGGGAGGGACCACAGGCCCACCAGTCATGAACCTCAAAAATCAACCATAAGGTGAAATCAGCAGTAACAATCAGACGGACCTGCTTGCTCGGTTGACCAGATTCAACGTGATCGAATGGCCAGGAACATCCCAATCCGAGGGAGCTCCGTGTAGGAGGGTCGGCTAGCATCTTTATAGGTTTAAATTTAAGTGATTTTCTAGCCATTTAATGATAGTAATTCAAATTTGAACTACATCTACATGCAACGCCTAACCATAACGGTTTGAAAAATCATATTTGTGTACTTATGTGCGAGTTAATTCCATGTGCAGTAAATTAGAAGAAATTTTCAAACATATTTGCCTCACGAGATGGACACATGCATATGTATGCATTGAGTGACATGGCATTTTAATTCCAAAAAAATTAAAAAATATCAGAAACACGTGAAACCTTGGTTGATGTACTGTCATGCAACCAAGATGATGTTGTTAAAATTTTGGCATGTTTGACGAAAGTTTGGACACACACCCCCCATAAACCGGAGCTACTCACAAGAAGGCTCGTGGTTCCGAGAGGGAACAGTGCATGTTTGATGAAAAACTGGAGATAGCTTCCTCTTACAGCCTTCAATTTTTTCTAAATCTAACATGCACTACTACAACTGTAATGTGAAATTTTGAAAAAATTTAGGGGCCATTTGACCTTTTAAAGACATTTAAGTGATTTTCTAGCCATTTAATGATCATAATTCAAATTTGAACTACATCTACATGCAACGCCTAACCATAACAGATTGAAAAATCATATTTGTGTACTTGTGTGCGACTTAATTCCATGTGTAGTAAATTAGAAGGACTTTTCAAACATATTTGTCTCACGATATGGACACATGCATATGTATGCAATGAGTGACATGGCATTTTAATTCCAAAATTTTTAAAAAATATCAGAAACACATGAAACCTTGGTTGATATAATGTCATGCCACCAAGATGATGTTGTTAAAAATTTGGCATGTTTGACGAAAGTTAGGACACACACACCCCACAAACCGAAGCAACTCACAAGAAGGCTTGTGGTTCCAAGAGGGAACAGTGCATGTTTGATGACAAACTGGAGATAGCTTCCTCTTACGGCCTTCAATTTTTTTCTACATCTAACATGCACTACTACAACTGTAATGTGAAATTTTGGAAAATTCTAGGGGCCATTTGACCTTTTAAAGACATTTAAGTAATTTTCTAGCCATTTAATGACAGTATTTCAAATTTGAAATAGATTTACATGGAACGCCTAACCATAACGGTTTGAAAAATAATATTTGTGTACTTGTGTGCGAGTTAATTCCATGTGCAGTTAATTAGAAGGAATTTTCAAACATATTTGTATCACGACATCGATACATGCATACGTTTGCATGGAGTGACATGGCATTTGAATTCCAAACAATCAAAAAAATCAAAAATATGTGAAACCTTACTTGATGTAATATCATGCCACCAAGATGTTGTGGTAAAAAAATTGGCATGTTTGACGAAAGTTTGGGCACACACCCCTCATAAAACCAGAGCAACTCACTAGAAGGCTCGTGGTTCTGAGAGGGAACAATGCATGTTTGATGACAAACTGAAGATAGCTTCCTCTTATGGCCTTCAATTTTTTCTACGTCTAACCTGCACTACTACAACTGTAATGTGAAATTTTGGAAAATTCTAGGGGTCATTTGACCTTTTAAAGACATGTAAGTGATTTTATAGGCATTTAATGACAGTAATTCAAATTTGAACTACGTCTACATGCAACGCCTAACCGTAATGGCTTGAAAAATCATATTTGTGTACTTGTGTATGAGTTACTTCCATGTGCAGTAAATTAGAAGGACTTTTCAAACATATTTGTCTCAGGACATGGACACATGCATATGTATGCATGGAGTGACATGGCATTCTAATTCCAAAAAATTATTAAAATATCAGAAACAAGTGAAATCTTGCTTCATGTAATGTAATGCCACCAAGATAATGTGGTAAAAAATGGGCATGTTTGGTGAAAGTTTGGACACACACCCCTCATAGACTAGAGCAACTCACTAGAAGGCTCGTGGTTCCGAGAGGGAACAATGCATGTTTGATGACGAACGGCAGATAGCTTCCTCTTACAGCCATCAAGTTTTTTTCAACGTTTTACGTGCACTAGTAAAACTGTAATGTGAAATTTTCGAGAATTCTAGGGGTCATTTGACCTTTTAAAGACATTTAAGTGATTTTCTAGCCATTTAATGATCGTAATTCCAATTTGAACTACATCTACATGCAATGCCTAACCATAACGGTTTGAAAAATCATATTTGTGTACTTGTGTGCGAGTTAATTCCATGTGCAGTAAATTAGAAGGAATTTTCAAACATATTTGTCTCACGATATGGACAGATGCATATGTATGCATTGAGTGACATGGCATTTTAATTCCAAAAAAATTAAAAATATCAGAAACACATGAAACCTTGGTTGATGTAATGTCATGGCACCAAGATGATGTTGTTAAAAATTTGGCATGTTTCACGAAAGTTTGGACACACACCCCTCACAAACCGAAGCAACTCATAAGAAGGCTCGTGGTTCCGAGAGGGAACAATGCATGTTTGATGACGAACTGGAGATAGCTTCCTCTTACGGCCCTCAACTTTTTTTCTACATCTAACGCGCACTACTACAACTGTAATGTGTAATTTTGGAAAATTCTAGGAGTCATTTGACCTTTTAAAGACATTTAAGTGATTTTCTAGTCATTTAATGACAGTATTTCAAATTTGAAATAGATCTACATGGAACGCCTAACCATAACGGTTTGAAAAATAATATTTGTGTACTTGTGTGTGAGTTAATTCTATGTGCAGTTAATTAGAAGGATTTTCAAACATATTTGTCTCACGACATCGATACATGCATACGTTTGCATGGAGTGACATGGCATTTGAATTCCAAACAATCAAAAAAATCAAAAACATGTGAAACCTTACTTAATGTAATATCATGCCACCAAGATGTTGTGGTAAAAAATTGGCATGTTTGTTGAAAGTTTGGGCACACACCCCTCATAACTAGAGCAACTCACTAGAAGGCTCGTGGTTCCGAGAGGGAACAATGCATCTTTGATGATGAACTGAAGATAGCTTCCTCTTACGGCCCTCAACTTTTTTTCTACATCTAACGCGCACTACTACAACTGTAATATGTAATTTTGGAAAATTCTAGGGGTCATTTGACCTTTTAAAGACATTTAAGTGATTTTCTAGCCATTTAATGACAATATTTCAAATTTGAAATAGATCTACATGGAACGCCTAACCATAAAGGTTTGAAAAATAATATTTGTGTACTTGTGTGCGAGTTAATTCTATGTGCAGTTAATTAGAAGGAATTTTCAAACATATTTGTCTCACGACATCGATACATGCATACGTTTGCATGGAGTGACATGGCATTTGAATTCCAAACAATCAAAAAAATCAAAAACATGTGAAACCTTACTTGATGTAATATCATGCCACCAAGATGTTGTGGTAAAAAATTGGCATGTTTGATGAAAGTTTGGGCACACACCCCTCATAACCAGAGCAACTAACTAGAAGGCTCGTGGTTCCGAGAGGGAACAATGCATGTTTGATGACGAACTGGAGATAGCTTCCTCTTACGGCCCTCAACTTTTTTTCTACATCTAACGCGCACTACTACAACTGTAATGTGTAACTTTGGAAAATTCTAGGGCTCATTTGACCTTTTAAAGACATTTAAGTGATTTTCTAGCCATTTAATGACAGCATTTCAAATTTGAAATAGATCTACATGGAACGCCTAAACATAAAGGTTTGAAAAATAATATTTGTGTACTTGTGTGCGAGTTAATTCTATGTGCAGTTAATTAGAAGGAATTTTCAAACATATTTGTCTCACGACATCGACACATGCATACATTTGCATGGAGTGACATGGAATTTGAATTCCAAAAAATCAAAACAAAATCAGAAACCTGTGAAACCTTGCTTGATGTAATGTCATGCCACCAAGATATTGTGGTAAAAAATTGCCTTGTTTGACGATAGTTTGGACACACACCCCTCATAAACCAGAGCAACTTACTAGACGACTCGTGGTTCCAAGAGGGAACAATGCATGTTTGATGACAAACTGAAGATAGCTTCCTCTTCCGGCCTTCAATTTGTTCTATGTCTAACGTGCACTACTACAACTGTAATGTGAAATTTTGGAAAATTCTAGGGGTCATTTGACCTTTTAAAGACATGTAAGTGATTTTATAGGCATTTAATGACAGTAATTCAAATTTGAACTACATGTACATGCAACGCCTAACCGTAATGGTTTGAAAAATCATATTTGTGTACTTATGTGCGAGTTAATTCCATGTGTAGTAAATTACAAGGACTTTTTAAACATATTTGTCTC